CCCCCCCCCCCCCCCCCCCCCCTTTACTGTAGATGTATCGTTGTACCAAAATTGGACGCCCTCTTTTAGGATCCTGGCTAAAAGTCTGTAAAGAGGAAAACATCAGCGCAAAGTTAATTAACATACCTTATATCCTCTAAATGTTTTGCTAAGTAGTATTTGGCTGTCCTTCATTTTCAGGAACTATAATAGTATAACATGATAATAGAGTCACTGACGGAATCTGTCACTATAATGTATGGTGCATGCAGGACAGCACAGTACAATAAAGTGCAGCCAAGTGCAATACGTTACAGCACAGCACAATACAGTATACTAGGCATCATAGTTTAGTTATATCTTAAGGAATTATATCTTAAGAATCCAACTATAGCGCCTCGTTCAAAAGCGTTTCAATAATAAACGTACTGTATATTGTCTCACTACGATAAACTCTGAATGAATTACGTAAAAAAAACAATGTAAAAACAAATAGGCAAATCAGGATTCACTAATTAACTTTACCTTTCTTCGTTCTCGAAAGCCTTTATAACGTTTTTGTATAATAACTGCAAGATCCTCTAATTTTTCTTCTCTTCTGTCTTCCAACGCAAATAACTACAATAAAGGAAAACAAAAATGAATACACTGAACTTTGACATTATCCTAGAAGTGAAATGCACACAATACCGTTTGAGGATTTCGGATAAAGAGTTTCGTCCTGCCATAATCATATTCAGATGTCTTGATTTTCAGGAACTATAAAGAAAAAATACGACAGATATTTTAATTGAAATGAAATTAATAGAAAGAAACAAAGAAGTGACTCTTAAAGATGTCACAATAGAGGTCAAACTCGAATTTGCATTTTTCTAACCCCTGGTTCACACAGTGTGGTGCATTCCGATTTCTCTATTACCCTTATCAATCAGAATCCATCCTGTGATCACATGGTTTCATAATTTTACATTCGATGGTAACATGGCATTTCAATTAACATTAACTTATCAGGGCTTATCAGAAACGTACCGTTATCTTTTGAGACGATGAGAAAGAAGAAGCGTGTGCACATATAAGGATTTACATTGGTGTAGAGTAAATGTTTAGAACAGGTCCGACTAAAATCGTACTGTGAATGCCAGACTGATTCCTGGACACTCTCGCAGGCGTTGTTAGGGTACACACGTAAAAATCTCACAACTTGTCAACAAGATGTGTCCGCAACAGGCTTGTAGCAAGCTTGTCAACATTACAATGTTGTTATTTTATCACCGAGTTGCTATAAGATTGTCACTCACAACAGTGAACTTGTTAACAAAATGTTGAATTGCAGGACGATAAGAAGTTGTTGGAACAACTTGTAACAAGTTTGTTGAGCTCAGCAACTTTGCAGCAAGTAATTGTACAAGCCGTTGACAACTTGTCAACAAGCTGGGAATAAGCAGTGCGAACACATCCTGTTGACAGCCATGTTGTTGAAACAGCATTGTTACAAGTCTAATGCAGGTTTGTTCCAACTTGTGCGTTTTTACAAGTGTAGTATTCAGCTTGTAATCATGCTTTGAACGTAAGAAAAATGCCAGCATGACAGCCACTGCGTATCCAAGTACGTACTGTGGCAGCTTACATGCACCCTTGTATTGTATTTTCATTCACTTTTCGGATTAATTTTATGACAAACTAGTTTACGTTGTCGATATACAAGATAGCTGTTCCGCTGACTGACCTTCAAGATCTCACCAAGACCTTGTTTTGGATCACGATCCCATTTTGGCCAAGTCTTCGGACATAAACTCTTATATCTGGAAACAATACAACATTTTAATGAATATAGAATATTTGCTTGCGAATAGGAATTTTATGTCTGTCATCTTGTTATTATTAGTGAGCTTAAGCAAGTGACGTTTTTGACAACACGGACGGCATGACGTGTTGTCAAAAACGTCACTTGCTTAAGCTCACTATTATCATATTAATTAACTCTGCCAAGGGTGTGGAGGAAACCTGCTTTGCAAAGATAAAACTTTAGCTGTAGGCAAATAGTTTAACTGATGGAACAACTAGATTATTTACAGGGTGTTGTCATATAGACGCACTCAAACATTTTACGTTTAGTCGCTTATAGTCAGCTGTCGAGGCAAGTTATTAATCTTTTCAGCAGTAATTTTTGTACATCCCACCTCCTCCCCACGCCTGCATCCATCATCCTGGTAATTATGGTACCGGGGGCTGTGTGGGCGTAATTTTTGCCCTCACCTTACTGGGCCTGCCTCCTCCGCAGGCCCTTCGCTGGGCACAGTGCAACCTCGTAATTGCAGTCTACATAGATCAGTGGCTGTGATATCATTGCCGGGCAATACAATATCCTGAACTCGCGTTTGGCTATTTCAATTTTAATTAATACGGCAAAACAAGTGCCCAGTAACGAGCTGCGGAAATGCAACATCTATAGTGCGACATGTCAGGAAATAGTATAGTTTACTCGCGCAAGATGACAGACATAAATATGTGATTAAATACAAGATTAACACCACAGAAACATTCTTTTCATATCAGTGTAGCGCCAGCCTCCACATAGTGAATTAATATATGCGAAACTTACTAATTTGAATCCAATATTCATATGATGCACAATAAATGGCTGGACAATAACAGTCCTAATATCAAATCATGACATTCTCTTCTAAGCAAACTATTTTATTACACCTATAGACCAAAACCTAAAACGTTTCAGTTATACCGCGTTACACTATATGAGTAATAAGTACCGTTACTGCATGAGAGCAATATTTAATAATAGTTATAGATTTATTTAATATCGATTACGCAGGTGGTTTACCCAACTCGCCCAAGCTATATACAGTAGAGTCATACACGATATACGTGCTCGACAAGTAATTAAGGCCCAAGGTTTGTTTCTGGCGAGGGAAGAAGACCAAAAAACAATCGTAGAAGTACAGGAGAGAACCAACCAAATGCCATGTAATGGATCCAGCCAGATCAGGTAGGGGGGGGGGGGCATTGAGCTTGGGTCATAGTTCAAGGTGTGGCAAATGACCAAGTGCGTAATCATTATGAAGAGCTACAGCACCAAGACACTATAGCCAAGAGTCTTGCTTGACAATTTCACAATCATTTTACTATCTCTTTTTGTCTCCATAAGAAATATGTAATATTAGTATAAATTTCCAGGTGCCTATTGATTTTTCTGCATTCTGATTGGTCAAGATTCACTGTCTCTGAAGTGATAGTCACTGGTCAGTGACTATAGCTTTTTTTTCAAAATGGCTGCTCGTTTTGCCGTAGTAACAGAGGAGGAAATTGCCAAAATTAAAGAAGATAGCATCCGAAAAAAAACGCAAACAAGCTACAAAATATGGTTTAAAAATATTTCAAGGTAAAATATTAAACTTTACGTGCTTTTATTTGGAAAAAAACTGGCTTAGTCGCAACGCGACACAGAGCCGTGTCTGAGATTTAAATTTTGTAAACAAACTATTTATAGCGAAAATAAATTTATTTGAAGTGAATTTTTGTAAAGTTGTGTGGATTATTGTTTGTAAACACCTGGAAATTTATACTAAAACAATTAGTCGCCTCAGGCTCGGTGATTACAAGCCAATATTCACTTCGCCTTCGGCTCAGTGAATATAGGCTTGTAATCACCTCGCCTTCGGCGACTAATTGTTAATTAGTACACTACCAGTTAAACAGTCTAAATGCAAAATTACCTTTCCAAAGCAACTGCATATTCCTGCCTGTAGCAGTAACCAGCACGGCGTACACGGACATTCTCCAGTAATCTGGAAAAAAATAGAGTTTCAGTCACCGAGTTGCCGTTGTTCCGGCTTTAGCTTTAGCGGGATGGAGTTCTGATAAGGACGTCGTTTTGTTCTCTTTGGGATGTCACGAACGAAACTTATCCATAGCCACCACAGTGCACAACGCTATTTCTTTGTGTATTATAGGGTCATACAGTAGGACCTTTTCGTTACTACTTACTACTTGTGTTTTACTGTGGATAGTTTTTTGGATAATGCGGGTTATAACGCAATGGCGTTATACCGGGTCGATTTCAGATCTAATTTAATGATATTTGAAAAATACATGGCAAACGTCATCTGACGACAACACCAACTGATGGTATTTGGCATTAACATTCAGCAAAATCTGAAACTGGCTCGACAAATCGCAGCGCGTCGGAACGTACCTTCAGAGCGGACGAGATTATACAAAATGTTCCGTTACATTTATGTGTAAGTAAAGTGGAGTAACTTAATGCAATCTTACCCCAAATATCTGACTTGATGTCTGACTGAGCGTTCGTCAAAGATTTTGGCACTTTTTGATTCATTTGGCTGTATGAACAAATAAATATTAACATGCTGTATGATTGGACATTATTATAGGTATGTAAATGGTGGTGCATTTTACCTCTGAAATCGTGGGTTTGATTCTCGCTGCGGATTCATGATACTTATGTGAAAAATGTCAGTCAACGCTCTACCAAAATGGTCATAGATTTTCTCCAGGTCATCTGATTTCTTTGGGAATACTGACAGAGTGGGTTGGGATAAGCCCCAAACTGACCTTTCCAGCGTAGCTGTGCTCCATGCATGATCAGAAATTGGTCAGAAGGCGCGACCCAGAGGCGCCCTCAGAAAGCCTTCGACTCGATCAGTTTGAGCCGCATCCTTCGTAATTCAGCTTAGCTCTCAGCTGCAAAGGATGACTAGCACACTCTCACTTGCTTAGTATTGTACATCAAGCAAATTCGAATAACTAATAGGTTTTTACTTTTTAGTATAACATTGTATGTACAACAGGAGTGTATTTAGCGCTGAGAGATGTAGCGATTATGCTTTATTACCATTTAAATGCTGACGTACCTTAATGCACCTCACATAATTCGGATTTTTCAGTCTTAAATTTTTCATCAACTGCGCGACAGACACCTATAGGGAAACAAATATCTGTTTAAAACGGGTAATAGGTCAACCTCGTACAACCTATTAAGGATGATTGGTACCCACACCTTTCTTTATTATTAAAATCTTGCCAAAATCGGAGGAAGATGAAAACAATGAACATATTATACAGCATGCCCCTATTCACTTATCTTCATCGGAAAAATGTCGTGTGCATGAGGTAACAAACGCTAGAATTACAGCAACGTTTTGAGTACCTATACCTTAAATTTTGTGGCAGCCGTACTGGGTCTTTTGCGAGATGGTGTCTGTGGATTTCCTGTAATGTAAAATGCGTGTAATTATGCAATTACTAGGTCACACTTCACACCGAAAAAGTACTAAATACTCCAGAATCATCCCAAGAGATAAAAAATCATACTAATTCACACACTCAAGCACTGTACAGAAATAGTCAAATTAATGCGGGATTTCAACTCCCACAATTGACGGGTTTAACTGATCCCTGCAAACTCGATAGCTCACTCGGTTTAGCAGAGCCGCTCAGAGCTTTTTGGCCCCAAAAAATTCCCTCTTGGGAGTTTTTGGGGGCCCCTTCCACTCCCTAAAATTCCCTTTTTGGGACCCTCTTAAGCCTGGGGGCCCAGGCGAAATTGCCCCGTTTACCCCCCCCCCCCCTCTGGGCGGCCCTGCGGTTTAGAGTGGCTGCTGAAAACACGAAAATGCCTCATAAATCGCCGGAATCCTGCTTGAGAAATAAATTTCAGGGTTAGTAAGTTTTCTTAAGCCTCGGTCAAACAAGGGTGAGAGTTGATGAGAGTTGGCAATGACGCATTGTTATGGCGCACATTTCAGTCTAGATTACCAAAACAAAGGTTTCAATTGATGAGTGTTGCAACCATGTCAGATGAGTGTTGCAACCATGTCGCATAACTGCCAACTCTCATGCACTGTCATTCTCGTTTGATCTGGGCTTTACAAGGGTGGCCTTTGCCTACAGTGTATAGGTTGAATGTACCATATTGTGAAGGAATGTACCATATTATTGTGAGGGAATGCATCAAGGTAAAAACCGCAACATTTACCTTCTGGGAAAAGTTGCTGCAACAAAGGATGTTCACATTGGAACATTGCTTGTGATAAATCTCGAAACAACGGATCATTGTTCTTGTCCAAAAATCCATTGACGCTGTAAGTAACCTAATGTTGAAAAGCAGAAAACATGCAACTAAACAGTTAATAATATGCACGAAAAAATCTCTCAATTCTTATTGGCTGAGAGCAGTGCAATTTTGAGGAAATACAGTGCAGAAGAAAGAAACACAATGCAAATTTCCTACTGGCGCATTGTTGCGAAGAAATTTAACATGGTAATCAACTTGACAAAGAGGAGAATTTTCTCTTTTTGACGGACTGCTTATTCTCGATGAACTGAAACTAAACACCTGCGAGTTTTTCAAAAACCTCAAATAGCATTCGTCCTTCGGACTCGTGCCGTATTTTGATAGTTTTTTGAAAACTCATTCGTACATGTTTTATCCAAAGTGCACTCGAAACCACACCATTACCTACTGTATACAAACAGTAAACAGTACGTGTATATATACTACTAACTAGAAAATACATGCATGCAGAAACCCTCGCCTTGCTGACAAAACCGTTGTATTTTCCGAACATGAAGTATCTAAAGTAGTTGTCATGGTAACACGATAATTTTTTAAGAATATTCTTACAAATGAAAATCGCCTATAAATATTACTTTTAATTACAAAATTATCAATTCCCAAGATATATGTGTTAGGTATGTAATTATACGTAATACAAGCTTCAATTTAAGGTAAAATTCAACCACAAACAATTCACAAAACGTTTTAAAGTGTTCTTTATAAAACTAAACTGCCTTTAACTATTAAATGGCTTTATCGATAAACTTTGAGTTTGCAATAAAATGATTTCAAATTCTCGCTTGCAAATAACTTTGCTTTATTTTTTATTTAAAAAATTCAATATAATAAAAAAGGGAATCAATATTAAAGATACAC